TCTGTATTGCACTATGGCTGTTCCTTGGAGGAGGATTTTCCCCCCAACAGTGGCTGGCAGAACTTATAAGACCCAAATGATGGTGCTGTTGCTAGTGCAAATTGGGGAATGGATGATGAAAAGTCAGGGACACAGATCTGCTCAAAGAGTCAAGCCAGCCATTTAGCTGGCAACAAATCACCTACTGAGGGAAATTGACAAAATGTGCTTGCTGGCACATCCAAGAAGAGAAATTCATTTCTGTTCTCCAAATCCTGGCAGGATTTGCTTCCCTCATAGGCTCGTATCTGGAAAATTCTAGACTGACTGCAGCTCCTTTTCTTTCTCTTTGCAGAGAAGTTGGCTGTTACCTTTTTACTGTCTCTTTTTTTATGGAAATACAATGGAACAATCATTTCATCACTGTAGCAACATCAACTACCGCAGCTCTAGGCTGGTTTGATCAGTTAAAGATACAGTATGGTTGATTTGTGCTACTGAGGAATTCTCAAAAATAAATAAATAAGTGAGAGGAGAGCTTGTGTGTGTGTGTGTGTGTGGATTCTGTTTTGAATATAATATATTTTTAACGTAATCATGGTTCAAGATGAAGTTGCTGGATTGACAGTCTGACCTGGAATCCTCTCTCTTATCCTCAGGACTGGTACAGACTTTTATGCTTTCTTTGCATGAGGCGTGGAGAAAGATCCTAGTCCAGTGCAAAATGTTATCATTTTGTCTCTTGGGACTGTCTTAATATTATTGAGTTTCTGGGTAAAGCCCATCTTATGATTCTGAAGCCTGGGTGCTAAAAATAAGGACAACTGCACCTTCTTCAGTGGCTGCTTTTTTGAAATCTGAGGGTTGCAGTTAACTTGCATAACATAATGCAAATTGCAGCTTTCCCTGTACTTTCTAATATTGGATAGGCAATCCCATGGAGATTACAGGCCCAAGCAGAATTCAGTGTTCCCTCTATGTATTTCATGTGTTACAAATCTGTATTAAAGGTGTGGGTGGCTGCAGGCCCCTTTATCGATCCCTGAAGGCCATGCTTTGGCTATTCTTGAATGTCTGCCTGTGTGAAGAGAGGGGAGAATTTGGTGTATTCCTTTCAGCCCTTTAAATTGGCGCCAGGCACCTCTGCCTCTCTTTGGATTCCAAATGCTTTAAAAACATTAATATCTGCTTTCTTTTCTGATATTCTGCAGACTGACTCCTCTGGAAAGAAAATGAAGAGTGCTGCCAGACCTTGGAGTGCAATGGCAAAGCAAGGGAACCATGGGATTGACAGAGGAAAATCTCTCCCCACCACTTCCTCAGGCATGAAGACTTCCAAATCCTCTACTTCACTTGCTTTTGAATCTCGGCTCAGCAAGGTACTAACCAGTAAGCAGTGTGCAAGCATTCCAAACTGATTCCAAACTATCACTCCAGTTAAGGCGGGCCATGTCACCAAGTGTTTAGAGCTTTGGCACTGAGTGTGTGAATGTCTGGATCAGACTCTACTGTATGCTTATTATACCATAAGGAGTCCTTGTGGCACCTTAGAGACTAACACATTTATTTGGGCATAAGCTTTCGTGGGCATAAGACACAGACCTTTCGTGCTCACTGGGCATAAGCTTTTGTGCCCAAATAAATTTGTTCGTATCTAAGGTGCCACAAGGACTCCTTGTTGTTTTTGCTGATACAGACTAACACAGCTACTACTCTGAAACCTATTATACCACAGTGTCTGTATACATTTGACCATATTGTATGTTTTGGGATAGTCGCTCCAGATTTGTCTCTGTGTATGGATTGGTGTGTGGTGGGGATGAAGGAGGAAATTTGACCATGGTGGGTGGGTGTGGTTTGGACTGGACTGTGGTGTGTGTGTATAGTGCATGCATTGGATATATTGTGGGTGAAGGATTAGTCTGTACAAAGTATGTGTGGATCAAATTGTACTCTGTGGATGTGGATTGGATTGGACTGGATTGCACTAAATGGGTAGGAGTGGAGGGTGATTTTTAGGGTTTAGAATTTATTTTCCCAAAAAAGAGTGTTGTGTTTTTGTTTGTTTGTTTTTTTTAAGGGTAATGAGATAATCTTGTGTCCTATAATCTGTGGGGGTTCCCCCCCCCCCTTTGAAAAGGCAAGGGACATAGCAAAAATATTGTTTGTGATAGAACTTTTACATTTCATCACACTCCTCTTTTTATATATATATTTTAATAAGACCAGAAATGCACATGGAAAATAATGTTCCATTTTAT